AATTTATTTTATATATCTGGTTTTACTTATCTAAAAATGTTAATTATTATGCATCGATTTAACCTGTTAACCTGTAAGTGGTTATATTTTTGCATGAATTCTCTTATTTTCGTTTATTGTTGAAAAACTAGAATTTATGGTTGCTATATTCAAAAAGTGGAGAAGTGTTAGTAAATAAACACGTCGCTTTGACGTTTGTAAATAAGTCCATAAAACTGAAGTCGAAAAACATGTATTTGTCTTTCACATCAAAAATAAAATATTTCCTCTTTCTGTTTTAAATGTAGTATTTATAGGAATGTCGTCTTTGAAAATTCAAATTCATTTCGAGATGTCATTCATTCTAACAAATTGTGGATTTGGAAATTTCAAATTTAAAAGTGTCGAAATTAGATAAAATATTTATAGAATATATTATACATATTAGAAATTTAGAAATCTTGGTGTTTGAGTATTTAGAAATTTCCAGAATTTGGTATTTGAGTGTTTAGAAATTTTCAGATTGCTACGTTTAGAAATTTGTTAATTTCTAACACTATTTAGAATATTTAGAAATTTTAGAACCTTGAAATCTTAAATTTGTGAACTTTGAGATTCAAAATGTAGCAGGAAAATGTACTTGAAAATGTAGGAATTCAATGACATAGAAATTTGTTGGTTAAAAGATTTTCAATCCTAGAAATTTATAACTTTGACCTCTGAAAAATTACAAACTTAAAAATTTAGAATTAAGAAGTTATTTTCTAATTTCCAAATTTGTGAATATATTTATTTTACAATCTCAAAATTAAAGAATTCAATCATTCTTATATCCATAAAAATATTAATAATTGTACGTAGCTCCATACATTGCCACAAATACATATACAAGTAAGATTAAAAAAGAGAGAAACCCAGCTAAAAAGAAAAGCCAATATGAAAAAGTAAAAATAGGGGAAGCAATGCAAGTAAATTATCGAGTATCCGTAAATCGATCCCGTTAGATAGAATTCAGGACCATAACTCCGTGCTACAATTTCCGAGGAATCCTCGATTCAACTTTCAACTTCATCGTCGCAATTTGCTTCGTAACTACGTTTCTTTTGTCGTAAGGTTACTTCTCGAAAGGATTATCTCGTTATACGTGTTCTTAGAGGTTCAGACGAACTTCCGGCTTGGCATTATGTACTTTATAAACTTCTTTTCGCCTTGAAGAGATTACATCTGCTCGTAGAGGCTGTTAAACGAGATGTCTCGCGTATTCTTCTCGGGATCTAGGGTTAAGATCGTTTCTGAACTCTCGTACTAACCGGTACGCTACTGGGAATTTCGGGGAAAATTCCCCTAGGATCCTCTTAGTTCAGATATTTCGCGAAACGTCAGGCCGCGGAAATTAGATCATGCAAATACGAAAGGAAATTTTGTGATAAATATTTGACAAGATTCATAGACCGTGGAAACGCTGGATAGCAGTGATTGTTTCAACAATACCGAGCTTATTATTATTTTGAATAATTTACGTGTTGTTTCTCTCGGATGTTACAACGGACCCAGCTAACAAGCAGATATTCAAACAATCTGTTTGCAACGTGCCATTTTAGCTACAGTTACGGCTCCAATTTGCGACCACGATGAACTTATACGACGTCAGGTACATTGTAATCGAGAAACAGGGATATCTGGGAAATTTTAATACAGAGGATTAACCCCTATTTTATGTGGTGAGATATTCGAGTACGCTACATCTCAACTATGAATGTTAAATTTTAACAGTAGAGTTGGAATGTAGCAAATTTTTATCTTGAACACATCTTTATCTTCATTAAGTTTAGGGTTCAATAATAATTATAAAATATTGCTAAATATAAAGAACTGTTAAATACAATATTAAGTGAGGGACATAATTTCTTTATTTTCAAAGTACGGAGACACTTTGGTGTCACGGTAATCTAGCTACCACGACAGAAATCATCCTTTTATTTCCATGCTCCACTCCGCGCTACATAATATTAGCACTTAACAAACCAACTGCTTTTTTCCTTCGTCTTCAGCAGTTTTATCGAATCAACACTGTTTTCAGAAGATTTTACGAAGTTATTTGCGTGTGTAGTATTTAAGAGCGTGATATTTTGTAGAACATTCACCTCGTGAAGTACCTGACAGTATATCTCGATAACCCTTTCGTGCTAGCCATTTTCACGGTTACGAAATTATTAAAAAATACTAGCTAAAGCAAAACTGCGGTAGGTTCGACAGACGGATAGTACCACAACTAATGGTAAGGAGAAAAAACCCAATGCGTATAAAAATGAAAAACTAACGCGGCTTAATAAAAATTCAAGCGAAAACGTAAATGTACGTGGGCCGTCTTAGGAAGTCAGAATGGAAAAACGTAAATTTACGTGGACTGCCCGTTAAGTGTTAAGGAGAACGTAGATCTTGTTGGTAGAATATAGTAACGAGACTGTACCTCATATCGATTCTCTACTATTCTACTAATTTCGCGTTGTTGTAGTTTTAGTTGGTCGATATCGACAAGCGTTGGTTGATAACACGATTTTGGGAGGGTGTTATCACTATCATGGCGTTAATTCGTTTTTGTTAATTGTAGGTGTAGATTTGGTAGAATGTGTTTGTGATACTGGAAGTTGTGTTTTCTACTGTAATTGGATTTCGTTGGTAGATAGAAGTGGAAGTTTAGAATATTGGGTTTTGGAAGTTAGGGAGGTTGAAATGTTGGGACTTTGACTTGGAAGCTTTAGAATTTTGAGGGTTTGAAACTTGGAGGGTTTGGAATATTCGAATTTTGCAATTTGTTGATTTTAGGACTTTGAAGATGTAGAAATTTATAGCTTTCGAAATTTGGAATTTTGTAAATTTTGAAATTTAGAATTTTAATTTTAGAATTGTAACTTTGGTAATTGGGAGTTTTGTAATTTTGATAATTTGTAATACTGTAACTTTGAAGATTTAGAATTTTGTAACTTTGAAATTTTTGAAATTTCATACTCTAGTCTTTCTTATCTGACACTTCAGAATTTTGAAATTCTGTGAAATCTAACGTGACAAAATTAACATATACCTTGCAATACATCCAAATTTATATATGTAAAATAGTCTACACCAATACATAATTACGTATTTATCAAAATAAACGTTCTTAAAACTGCTCTTTCCATACAATTTCTGCACTAACCAATTCATCACATTCTCTAAAGCAACCTCATAAAATAATGATTCTAAACAATTTGAAAGACGTGCGAAGATTAAAAAGTTCCCGTATAAAACTGATGTTCGTTTCATTAAAGAATGATTAGCCGATAATCGCGTCGATAAAAAGAGCGATAACATTAAATTGAATTTCAGTTGAATGACTTCTTTTTTGTTCGTTGGTTTTTACGATGGAGAGAAGGTAAGAAGCGGGTTCACTTTCGCGAGAGGAGTTTCTTACAAAGAAATTTCCCTAGGGTGCTCGATAGCGACGCCTCTGGGTCAGAGTTAGCTTCGTGTAACACTACACCGTATACTCGAGTTCGGTTAATAGTTAGGTGGATCAAATCGATTCGATTTGCCTTAACTGCTACAATTGTATTTGTAACACGACGCTCGGTATAATTAGGAAATTAGTTACTCGAACTAGGTAACCAGAATTCGATAACTTGGAAGGAATCTAATTTCATTTGTCTGCCCCTAAATTGTATGCCTGGACGAACGAGCGTTTGATTACGCTGCATGACTTAAAAATACTGTCGGGAAATCTGAGCAGTCATTCGATTCTTTGATACTGTCTGAAATGAAGTTAGACTGTAATACAAGGGGTGGTTCATGCAACTGTATCAGATTATAACTCCATTACCAGTGCGGATAAAGAAAAACGCCTAAGCAAAAAGAACAGAGTACAAATGGTACAAAATATATTCATGGGACCAATTGTTTGTTAGAAGTGCAGTAATACATTCAATTGTACTACTTTTCTTGAATGGAACCACATAATTTTTTACTCAGTTGGATTTTGTCGTTCCACGTAAAAAAGTATTGTGCCAGAAAAATGATATCGAGGTATTTTAAGAAAATTTATCGAAGATCAAACGCTTCGTTACTGTACATTTCGGACGCTTTGCAATTTTCATAACTAAGAAAAGGCGATCTATTTATTGTTGCACACTGCATTACCGTTCTTTTAGATCCCACAGAATTTACAGGATTTGCGTAAATCTTATCTTTCAAATAACCACGTAGAAAAAATCGAGGGGATCAGATCGGGCTGGCCAGGATATCTGGTACCGACGAGTTTGCCATACTTATTTTTTAAATATTGTATGATCATCGGTGAACCGTGCACCATCTTGCTGGAAAAACTCCAAATTTGGTTGCCATGAATCTGCGTCTTCGATAACGATATTTTCTTAAAATACCTCGATACACTTTTTTACTATTGTACCCCTGTAATTTTTTACGTAGAGTCCAACCGAGTGAATGATTTCCATTTAAAAAAATAATGCAACTGCACATGAATCCCTGTACTTGGTTTCAGAACATGGTACTTTGAACCATCTTTTTCTGATTTTATGAGAAAATTCGTGGTATGAGATGGAAATTTAAATATTTCTAAATTTAGGAATTTTAAGATTTCTCTTACACAGAGAATATTTTTAATTTTAAACAAATCTTTACAAGTTGAATAATTAAATATTGAATTTTATAGCTATTTTATCGCTATAGTTTATAATAACGAGAAAACTTAAATCGCGACTTTACCCCATTCCTTCGTTAACGCGTTAAGATACCATCTGGGTAATACAGTAGCTAGATGCTATAGACAGCTAAACACCTGTTATTATAAAATGTACAAACACGGCGCAAATGAAGTACATAACCGTCACGTGAAAAATGAAGATGTTGCACGAAAAACACAGGCTGCTAATCGCTACAAATGGGCATATAAGTTGTTAAGCGTTGAACGAAAAGGTGCAACTTTCTCACGCGATTTCTAACCCGATAATTTCTTGTTTATGTTACAGGATGGCGCTTACGTGAAAGAGAGCGAAACGGACGGGCTGGGACTTTGCCCTTACGATCCACGACACAACAGCACCGCTGTATTTGTCGGTGAGTTATCGCTACAACACTTTTTATTCTTTTTTTAACCGGCTGTATGACGGCAGCAACTTCCACGGAATCTAACATTGTTCTAACTCATTATGCGGAAGAATTAATCATGCAGTTCTGATTAATAAAACGGAACGATTAACATTGGCTTTACATGTGTTCGATGAACTTTTAGATTAGATATAAAGTAAGGGGTGAAACGTATGTTGGTTTGTATAATTATTCGGGACGAAGGTTGAGGTGCTTTTTATAGGAGCATCTGAATTTCTGTAATTTTAAATAAATTTGAAAATGTTCATGGGTTTTGAAAGGTTTCGAATTTATAAACTTTCAAATTTCCAAGCAGTCAAATTACCAAATGTTCATATTGTCAATTTTCCAAATTTTCAATTCTCCAAATTCTCAAATTACCAAGTCTTCAAATTTCAAAATTTCCTTATTGACTATTTCCCATATTATCAAGTCTCAAAATTCCCAAATTTCCAAATAGTCAAATTACCAAATTTTCATATTATCAGTTTTCCAAATTTTCAATTCTCCAAATTCTCAAATTACCAAGTCTTCAAATTTCAAAATTTCCTTATTGACTATTTCCCATATTATCAAGTCTCAAAATTCCCATATTTCCAAATAGTCAAATTACCAAATTTTTATAATATTATCAGTTTTCCAAATTTTCAATTCTCAAAATTCTCAAATTACCAAGTTTTCAAATTTCAAAATTTCCTTATTGACTATTTCCTACATTTTCAAGTCTCGAAATTCCCAAATTTCCAAGTAGTCAAATTACCAAATTTTCATATTATCAGTTTTCCAAATTTTCAATTCTCCAAATTCTCAAATTACCAAGTCTTCAAATTTCAAAATTTCCTTATTGACTATTTCCCATATTATCAAGTCTCAAAATTCCCATATTTCCAAATAGTCGTCAAATTACCAAATTTTCATATTATCAGTTTTCCAAATTTTCAATTGTCCAAATTGTCAATTGTCCAAATTTTCAATTCTCGAAATTCTCAAATTATCAAGTCATCAAATTTCAAAATTTCCTTATTGACAATTTCCCCCATTTTCAAATTTCAAAATTCCCAAATTTCCAAGTAGTGTAATTACCAAATGTTCATATTGTCAATTGTCCAAATTTTCAATTGTCTGAATTTTCAATTGCCCAAATTATCAAATCCTCAAATTTTCAAATTTCCTTATTGTTAATTTCCCACATTTTCAAGTCTCCAAATCCCCAAATTTTCAAGTCCCTTAACCCTTAAATGCATGAGTTTCTAATTTTACCAAAAGTTATCAACTAACAAAATACCTTGAAAGCGGTTAATTCAAATTAAAACGAATACATGACGCTATTGTGTATTTGATTGGTGTCTTGCACATATGCAACACTACTCATTGCAGATTTCCTACATTTTGTAAATAATTTATAAGATTAAAACTGGTATGTTGCATTTATACAACTATATGCGTTTAAGGGTTAATTTATCCAAATTCATGTTCGAATTCATTCGCCCAAATTTTCAAATCTCCCATTTTCTAATTACCTAAATTAAATCATACCTTCTAAAATTTTCAAATATCCAAATCATCAAATTCCCAACTTCCGAATTTTAACCTTCTAAATTCCCAAATCCCTAAATTCTTAAATTCCCACATTAACCTGAAAGTTTACGAATTTGACCGACCAATCAAAAGCGAGCGAACAATAGAAATTTCTCCCTCTTGGTCTCCATTTTCCCTACGGAAACCCGACACGCTCTTAACTGAACGGTGAAAGGGGATTGTAATCAATTGAAGTCCTTGTTCGTATCAATAAACAGTATACCACCATGTACCCTAGTGTACAACAGCACACTTCTGATTCATAGTGTACTCGGTTTTCGCATTTCGAGTGACGAGGCTGTAGTATATCGCAAACAATGAATTAGACCCGTAACGAACGAAATCTATTCATATACCGCTCTACATTTGAATACGGTGATACGATCTCGTACATTTTGCGTCAAATCGTTGTGGATATGGATATTCCGAGGCGTTTCATTCGCGTGTATGAAGCAGCTGGAAAAGTCGATACTTCAGGCTGGTAATCATCATACGTTCTGCAAAATTTAATTGAACGCCTTATTTTAATACTGGAACGGTTAACACGAAACTGTTTGCACCTGTACGAATACGTAATAATAGAATATTTTTATACTTGTTAATTTATTACTGTCCCACAAAAGATTTCCACGTTTCGGAGTTGTAACTGTTAATGACAGCAGCAAAAAGTTTTGATTCGACCCGAAATAAAACGAAACGTAAAGTAGGAACTTTCGAAATGGCGTAACAGCTACGAACAAATAAGACTGTTTCTACCAAAAGCAGACATAATGACAGGTCTTTAAGATACTTAATAACGGAATATTTTTTCATTTATTGATTTATTACCGTCTTACAAAAAGAATACATGTTGTGGAATTATAGCTGCTACAACCATAACTATAATAATATAATTAGACACTTTTATTTTTACCGACTGGCAATTTCATTTCGATGATGTATACTTTCATTCTCATCAGAACTTGAACACGAACACTTCTACGCGAATTCCAAATATTCTTCACTTATCGTGGACTACCGAACATTTTCTTTGTCTATAATCTCATCGTGAAGTTCAATTTCATTTTCTTCTCATTCACTTTCTTCGTGCTACATCCAACCGATATCGGACCATTCCACTGGTATTCTTCATTTTTTGTAACGGTTCAGAGACTTTCGATCGTATTGCCATTTTTAGGGCTCGTTATATAAAAAAGAATTAGGTCTATTCCAACGACTATGGTATACATGACCGCGTGAAACAATCACGACTATGTTACGTTGCATGGCGACTATGTTTATGTTGAACCGCCGGATAAGACGTTGCGTGCGATAAAATTTCCTAAGAAAGCATCGATAAATCTAAGTATCTAATAAATTCGAGTTTAACAGATTATAGGATACTTCCGCTTTGAGAAGTACCAGTGAAAATGACTGGTATCGGTATAAGTAGCCATGGCACAAAATTATTTCGATTCCGAATAAATGAAGCAAAAATAAAATTTGTTACGCCTTTGATTATCGCTGCAAAAGTCATATCATTGCGGAGAAAATATGCAACACGAATCTTCAAATGAAATTGTAAACTCAGGTGGTAGTTCTAACGTTAATTATTCAACCGTTGAGAAACTTCGTGATTCTGTTAGATAGCACTTTCTTCTTTGATTTTCTTGAATTTTGACGCAAACAGAGAAACGTTGTTTGGTCGGTTTGAATCGAATAAGAATTTGAAAATGAAACTCTAAAACCAGTAATTTTTGTCGTAGCTGAAACACCCATTTGCATTTCAAACACACACGTGATCTTACTCGCATCGCTATTCAATAAACTTGAAATCGAGTCGGGTTAAACTGAAATCTGAAAATAGGAGAAGCTAATCGAGTATTATTCGTTTCGGTCACTTACTATCGCGCACATCTTGTTTACAAGTAATACATCTTAATTTTGCATTTAACCGACACGATAGGTGGAGGCCCGGTGCATAAGGTGTGATCGCGTGACTGAATCGCATGTTAAGTGACCTACTCCAGAAAAAGAAAAGATAACAGACCCCGGGTATAATTCAACCGAAACGACAGAGAAATATGCAGAATAGTGACGCGGTTGTGTCATTGTCTCGCGATAAATTATCGACCAACTATTCGCTAATTTTTCCTGTCATTATCAAATCAAACCTGACAACTCTGACAGCTGTGTGTTTCGCGGAATCTTACGCTCGTTTTCATATCTCAAAGGATATTATTGATCGTACAGGCTCTTTCAAAAGTTTAACACTAGTTTTAAGGACATTATATCTCTACGAACACGCGTGAATTTGACGCATGAATACATTTAAAGAAAAACAACCACTTAGAAAGTGATATTATTAAACACTACAAGTAAGAAATGAAAATATGAGATACATATTTATAGAAAGTTTTCATTCAGTAATATTTTAGTACATTACTTCAATATTCTACATTCATATTTTTACTTCCCTCACCCTGCGAACTGCGATTTGTACTGCGACCCCGGGTCCGAACCCGGCATACCGGCTGAGCCGGCTGCGTGCGATTCCGGACTAGCGAAGTCCATCGTTTATAAGGTATTGCGGTGCATTCATATTTATTATTGTTGTAATTTTTGCACGGGTAAAACTAATTTACTAAAAATTTTATTTACATTACGATCGCGTCAAATTGACGCACATCCGTAGAGATAGGTATACCACATAGCAAATTTCAATATTTCAAAGCTTTTGAAGAACATAGACTTCAATATGTATTTACCTCGTTCAATGGACAAAAGTCAGTTCAGGAGATAAAATAAAAATGCGAACGGTTTTTGTCATTTTTTTTTAAAATTCGAAATGCGTCAAAATAATGCGTTCTGCAAACCTAGTGTTAAAGGTCGTTCTTTGTGCGGTGGTTGAGGAATTTTATTATATTTAGACTTGGATTATTGCTCCAGTTATTTCAAAGGATTCCTCAACTTGATTGGTTTTCTTTGTGTTAATGTTTCAATTCGTCGAATTTTTTTTTCAAAGAACTTTTATCATTTCAAATGTTTGCGCTTCACATTTTGTACGCGTTTAATTTTCAATTTGAGGGCTCAATTTGTCGAATTTTCAACATGTAAAATTTTAGCAGGAATTCATAGTTTGTTGGATTTCTCATATTTTTATTTTATCAATTTTTTAGAGTTAATAAATTTGTGCGTTAATTTTTCGGCTTGTCGAGTTATTACAAGGTTGAATTTCCAGATCGCTGAATTTTTGTCAAATTCCTGTTCAAAAAACGCGTCACGTTCGTAATCCGCTGAATTTTCAAAGCATTTCATTTTTTATCGCGTCAGATTCTCAATTCCTCGAATTTTTAGCTTGCCAAATTCTCAACGCATCAAATTGTTAACCCGTCGAATTCTGTGCTCATCAA